CTCTTCCCGTCGGGGTAAAAATAGATCGCCCATTGGTACCCGCCAACCATGAATGTATCAGACGCTATGTACTTGCCTGCTCCTATGCCTTTGGCCAGAGAGTATCCCGTGACGTTGAACCGGTGAGAGCCATTGACGGTGTCTGTTATCCACGTCGACGACGTCGTCTCAGGCGAAGAAGACGAAGAGGATCCTGGGTTATCCGCGTCAGTTTTACCCATGGCCCTCCTATAAAGATGAAAAATTTCTCCCAAAAATTCAGGATTTCCAATTACAATTCGAGGATCTAGGGTTCGGAAAACAGGAACGGAAGGAGAATTCGGGACCAAAACCCAGCAATCGGAGAACAAGAAACGGGAAGAACAAGGAAGATGACACCCGGTGACGGAAAATCTAGGGTCCCTTTGGGAGCAGAAATTCAACGGACTCGATGTTTGGCGAGGAAGATGAGAGAGAGAGAGAACGAGGAAGGGGGAAAGAGGAAGGATGAAGGTGGGGGAAAAAGATAATGACTTTATGGTGGGCGTAATAATGTCGGTTTCTCTTCTCTCTTTATTTAACCGAGTCATGATCCGGCGCCGAAGAATGTTTTCTTCTTTTTTCTGGTGTAACATACTCGCTCCCAGGCTTCGACACGTGGCAATGCATGTTGAGAACAAGAGATCCGTTACGTGTTAATTTGGTAATAATTCATTGATTGTGAATCTTTGGTGAATGAAAAGGGAAACAAAAACCCTTTTAAATCCCATCTGTTTTGTCTTCCACAACGACAACATCTTATTCTTCAAGAACCCGTTGACAAACCGCCTCCCTCCCTCCAGATTCACCCAAAAAATAATAATCCCCTAAAATGACTATCGACCCAGGGTGAAAGATCTGCTATACCAAATACCTTTTTACCGAGTGATGATGGAGAATCTGAGATGTTCTCCCAGTTTTTTTTTTTTTTTTACTTAGCCGATCACTTTTGATACAACACCAGCGCCGACTGTCCGACCACCTTCCCTCAGGGCAAATCTTTGTCCTGTCATCACATCCAAGCCAACCAGACACCTCTCAGTGTTTATCCTTCAATGGTGCATATGTCATTCGAAAACGGGATTATTACGTGCCTTGTTCAAGTGGAACGGGCAAAATCAGCTCGAAAGTGGCGGTCACATTGTCTCCAGGCATGACCATCTTAACATTTTCAGGCAATTCCACTTTCCCCGTTACATCCGCCGTTCTCAAGTAAAATTGTGGCTTGTAGTTCGAGAAGAACGCAGTGTGACGCCCTCCTTCGTCTTTGGTGAGCACGTATATCTCCGCTTCAAACTTTTTGTGTGTCTTGCAGCTACCGGGCTTAGCAATGACCTTTAACCATCAAGGAAATACTCACATATTGAACTTGTGTATATTTCATATGATTGTCCAGAAGTTGAATATTAGATTTCAGCTGAAACAATTGAACACAGCTCAGCCCACATTGAGAGTGCTGAACATACCATTCCACGTTCGACATCTTCACGTTTTAAGCCACGTAGAAGGAGACCGACATTGTCACCAGCCTGGAGAAATGAATGCATTGAAACCCGGCAATTTGAATAACGCTAATACCCACCATCTTCGCAGCTCCAGAAGTATTTAAGATAAGAGCACTCACCTGTCCCTGGTCTAAGATTTTCTTGAACATTTCAACACCAGTTACCGTAGTTTTGAGAGGAGGACCCTTCCATCGAAAGTCAATGCTGCATCAGACGTAGTTCTGCTATTCCATCTAAAAATCACCAGTAGAGGAATGCAATAATATTCACCTGCATAAGACCCAGAACATCAACTTCCTCCCCAACTTTAATGGTCCCTTGCTCAACACGACCGGTTGCGACAGTCCCACGTCCCTTGAACATGGAAATTTCGAGCATAAGAACTATGTTCTTAGAAGAAACGTAAATAGACCAACTTTGCCAAAAGCAAACAGAAACAACTTCATCGTGAAAGTATTCTCTGCTACTATCTTATTGCTTTTCTAGGTGGTCATCAACAAAACATAAATAACCCTAAATTAACATTAATTTCTCATCTGAATCGAGAAAACATCTTCAACAGGCATCAGGAATGGTTTGTCGAGCTGGCGAACAGGATCCGGGATGTATTCATCCACAGCGTCCATTGGCTTCAAGATAGCCTTTCTCCCTATTTCATCATTTGTACCTTGCAATGCAGACAGGGCCGACCCTAGATGATAGGTATTTCATCGCCGGGGAACTTATAGAAGCTCAGAAGTTCTGACAAAGTTCATTTTGGTTAACGGGTCAGCTCAAAACCATGGAAGCCCAACAGACGAAAAGGAGCTGTGAGTTTTCACAGAAGGCTGCAACAGGGCAACATACCACGAAGTTCCATTTCCACAAGCTCCAGTAATTCGGGATCATCAACAGCATCAACCTTATTCAGAAAGCAAACAAGCGATGGCACACCAACCTGTGCAATAAATAGTTCAGAATCTAAAGTTCACAATTCAGAAGTTTTAGTTTTGACCAAGATTAGAGTGGACATGATATTTACAAAGTCTTCAATTCTGTGAATATGTGTCTATGTATGATATCGGAAGTATTGTTGCAGCTTGTAATTATACGACAAGCATACAACTATATACCGACGTTATCACACCCAGATCCAAAACCTGTAGCGAATGCTCCAGGAACCACCTTAGCTTAGGCAATAGTTCATGCATGTTTGTAACAGGACACACCTGACGTGCAAGAAGAATATGCTCCTTAGTTTGGGGCATCGGGCCATCAGGTGCAGATACAACCAAGATGCCACCATCCATCTGTGCAGCACCAGTAATCATATTCTGTACACCCATAGATAAATAAAAAGTTGTTAGATTATAAGGTCTTCCGGTTTAAACTAGTTCGTTTTGGAAGAAGAAACATAGGTGCATATCCAAGACGCACTCCACGACTCCTTTTTTTAAATCACATTGTGCATCTTTTCACTGACAAAGTTTCTACCTTGACATAATCAGCATGTCCAGGACAGTCCACATGTGCGTAGTGACGCTTAGCAGTCTCATACTCCACGTGAGCCTGACAAATGAAGGCAGAAATCACTACTGACTATGGATAGAAATAGAGAGGAACATTATCCTGCTAAGTGCTATAAAGCAAAGGAGGAGGCAAGACAATAATACAAACCGTTGCGATGGTAATTCCTCTCTTTTTCTCCTCAGGGGCCTTGTCAATCTCATCAAAGGCAACAGCCTTAGCTTTTCCTTCCTCGGCCAACACCTACAGACGAAAACAACATGGCCACATGCCAGTCGTGAATCCCAGCCAGGGGATATCATCGGTTGATGATGATCTAAAGGCGTAATGAGTGTCATAAAACCTTGGTGATTGCGGCGGTAAGAGTGGTCTTTCCATGATCAACATGTCCGATTTTTCCTACATTGACATGAGGTTTTCTGAAAGAACACATATCAACTGGCAGCTGGTTAATTTACATCCCCCCCAACATAGCTTACTGAATTCAACTAAAAATCACATCTTTGATCTTTCCTCGCCAACTCAATTAAACAAAAATGCAAAAGTACATTAAAAATACAATGGAGGTACATGAATTTCATTCGTTCCACCTACAAGAAAACTACATTAAACCATATATACTAACATAGAGTCACCTGGGGACACAGTCACACATTGCTTTCGGGAAAAAACACATTTGGAAAAGGAAGAAATGACCTTAAATACAACAGGGAGGGACTAACGTTCTTGTGAAAGTGGCCATGGATCTCCGGATAGAGGGGCTCGGGAGTGGTCGCACCATCGTTTCCGGGGAGAGTTTGGAAGATCGAGCAAGGCGAGGAGATGGAAGAGCCATTACAAGGCCAGAAAATTCGAGACGAGAACGGCAGAAGGCGCTTCGAATTAGGGTTCCGAAGGATGACGGAAGCCATCGATTGGGTTCGAAGCAAGAAGCGGACAGAGGATGAACTCTTGAAGGGTTTCAAGTCGCAGTCTTCAGCCTCTCTCGAGGGTTTTAGCGGAGAAGACACGGAGAACTGGAGGAGGGCCCTTTAACCGGGGGAGGGGGGGGGGGGG